TTCGTTGCTAAGTCTGCCTGGTTTAGATGAAAATGAGTATGCAGGTGTTTGAAAGCCTGCACCGAGGAAGAACGAGCCCTGCGTGATTCCTGACTTCCATGTGGGTCTTTGGGAATTTGCAGCACACCATTTAAAGTTAGGATTTAAAATTATTCAACTTCTCCAGGAATTCCCTGCAAAAAAATTATTATAAGTTAAAATGTGTCTAAATTCTAAAGCTTGTCTGACTCTAACCTGAGATTCAACAGTTCAATTACAGAGTGGCAGGATCTGTGGAGTCGGAGGCTGTGGCATGTTTTTATCCTGTGGCTGAAACCTCCCAGGAGAGCTATGAGTGGGCATTGAGGTAGTGATCATGGTTAGCAAACTCCCGGAAGGCTCCTGATTGGTGTTTACTGCTGCGGTGCTAATCTTTGCTAATATAGTATTTTCCTTAACTTATTGCCAGGAAGGCAAAAGTATGTAAATTGTAACATAATATTTTACTCCCTAACCGTGTGGGTGTGTGTTGGGGGATGGGGTGAAATACACGTGTTTAATTTTGGGGAAAACACAGAATATGAGATTTACTTCTTAGCAAACTTAACACCTAGATTTTTTTTTTAGCACTCTAAACTGTATACACGTTGTTGTGTGGCAGCTCTCTTGAACTCAGTGAATCCTGTTATTCATTAAATAGTGACTCCCCAAGGCCCCCACACCCTTTGAGTCTGGATGGGAGACAATCCCCACATCACCTCTGTTGGTCCTCATCCTCCTTGACATCCCTTCTGATTTCAGCTGTACTGTTATCCTGGTTAACATTTATTTAGCAGTTACATGTCTACCGCTTCACTAAGCCCTTGTAGCCATGCTCTCATTTCATACTTTGAAGCATCGTGGAACAAGTATGATTCTTTTCTCTTTCCTGTAGTTGAGATAACACACTTAGAGTAAAGAATGACACCTGCTGTGTACGCAGAAAGTAGTGGTCTGTAGGTTTGAACTCAGGCCATCTGCACCTAGCATCTGCAGCATTCCTCATCAGCTCACTCGTGTTTGCTTATCAGAACATTGTGGCTAAAGCATCCAGACAGAAAGGAGTAAAGTCAAACAAAAACCTCCCGTGGGGTCTCTGTGTCAAAGTCACTCAAACAGAATTCGCATCTAAACAGTCATCACTATAAGATTATGTACATACTATTGAACACTGAAAGCCAGATGTTTGTAAATTGGTAGAAATAAGATACTATAAATTTCCTGGGACTCACATGACTCGCTTGTAGATGCCTAGGCTGCAGATGTATTTAACTTAATATGGACACGAACTGTTTAAAAATCCGATTTTACATATCTAAGGGAACAATGTGCACTTTCCAGTTTGATGGCACCCATACCACTTCCTGTGTTCTCGATCTGCATCAGTCATGTCCTTTACACACTGTGAACCCACGGCCATGTGGATGCCCCACAATCATCTGGCATGACTGTGTGACAGTCAAAATTGGGGTGAATGCAGGACAGGATAGGTAAGGTGTGTTTTTATCTTTGGACTTAACTGATGACATAGCATTTGCTCTCAAGTTGCTGTTAGTATGGTACTCATCTTCTCTGTTGTTATATGAGCAGTAGGAACCAGTACTCCTTTCCCCAGTTGGGTGGGTAGTCATTTAACTCTTGTTATTCCCTTGATAAATAGTAGATATGTGTCCAAAGAGGGAAAGGGTTTTTTGTGAAGCTGCTTTTTTTATGTGTGTGAATTTCATAGAGTATTTAAAATAGCAGAGATTAAGACTTGCTTTTCGGATTTCTACTTGTCCCTTGGCAAAGATCGTAAAGTTTTATGATTGGAAGGTATCATAAAGCATTTGTGTGTGTATGAGTGTGTGTGTGTGTGTGTGTGTGTGTGTGTGTGTGTGTGTGTGTGTGTGTTTGCTTGTGTTTTGTGCTGATCGGAGGAGTCATAGGGAAGCTGCTTTCCTCCTGAGCCCATTTCTTTATTTGTAAAATGCCAACTTCATGTTATTTGCATGCGGTTTTATCGAAATATCAGGTAGAGTCCCTGACACAGCTTGTAAATCCAAATAATGCGGATTTCTATTTCTCTTCCTTCGATTCTTCTCAGAAAGTAGGATTGAATAGAGACATTGCCAGTGATATCAAAGAATATAAAAGGATTTCTGATGAGAATGCCAGAGAAAGGTCACAATAAAAATGCTCTCTTGCCAACAAAAGCCCTATAGAACTGCTGTTCATGGAGCACGTGAAGACTTTCTCTGCTTGCCAGCATGTGCCTCTCTACATATATGTTGTGTTTCCTGTGGAATTATTCATTTGTTGATACATGGAAAGAAACAGCATGGAGAACAATAGAGGTCCCATAGGAAAACCCTTTGTCCTATTTACTCAACAATAATTCTTATTCAGTGTATTGTAATTCATGGTATGTAAAAGAAAGTCCATTTATAATGTTAGTGTTATCTTCTAATTTAAAATCGTGGGCATGATGTTTATTATACCTGCATAAAATAAGTAGTTTAATTTCTCTGCACCAGGGGAAAAATGATTTCACTGCCTGTTAAGTAGCCTGATGGTCCATAGTGTAAAGCTTATGAGGCCAGGGATGAAGGTCCCATCCTTAACACTGTATTTGCCTCTTTAAACTCTGCAGTCTCTGTGGAAGTCTCCTGCAAAGCCTTCTCGAGGACAGCTGGGAGCTTTGACTTTTCCTGCAAACCTGGACAGAGGCTTACTTGGGATCTTGGACTTTGTCTATAGCTAACTTTCTCTGGGTTCTTCACTCATGGTTAAGAAAAATTATATTTCATATATTTTTATAATTTTTGTGGTAGCCACTGAGGGCTTATTTCAGTGAAGCCAAAGCAAATATTTGAGGAAATAAGTAAGCTTGTCTTGGAAGCTACAATGGAATAAGAGAGAGAATGGTTATGAATCTTGGCAGTGATAAGACCTAAATTTGTTTTAAAGCTTACATTATAGTAATTATATATGCTTTTGGTAACTTTTTTTTAGAAAAAATCTACTAGCTAATAGTTTTATAAGATATGGGAATTAGTTTTGGCTTTTTATTGTGGTTGTACTTTGTGCTCCATGGTTTAGACCATGCGATAGAAGGAGCTAAGATATGGTGGACATATACGTATGGTCAAGGAGAGCTATTACTGGAAATAAATGACTTCTTCATTTAGCCACTCAGCAAATATTAGAAACTCAGGTAGTTTAATCAAAGTGGATATTAAATTCTGTAAGGGCTGTGTGGCTTATGAAGTCAGAGGCATAATCAGGGGATGCAGGTTGTCAGGCTGTTGAAAGCATTTTGCAATACAGAAAGATAAAAAATAAACCATTAAGTGGCTTTCAGGAGGGTAACATCAGAGTCAGCTATTTTAAGATGAGTATAAGGAACAAGGCTGGCATGGTAAAAGTTACTGGATGTGCTCCACAGATCCCGTAGATAATTTTGTTCTATACTAAGGCCTTGATAATAGATAGAGAATGGTAGCACTAATTTTGAGGTTAAGGTACACAGGACTCAGAAACTAAGTGTAGGAAGTGAGTGATAAAGTAGTCAGGGATGAATGCCAACCTTGTGTTTCACCATGGTAAATGGTAGAAACAGTCATGGACTCATTGGACACCATGGAACCCATAGAGCTGGGGGATGATGCCATTTGGGGCCATCTTGAGTAGTAGGTGTTTGCTGAACATCTAAATAGAAGAATCTTAAAGGAAGATTCAATAAATCAGATCAGTTTGGTGTTGAAGATGCCTGGGAAGTGAATGCTCCAGAGGAGTGAAATTGTTAGTGACTGGCACAAAGGAAGGTCTCAGGGTCTCAGTGTCTATGGGGTTTAAATACTGAAAAGTCCACATGCCTTAAGTAAGAGCCATATCATTGAAGTGCTGTGGGCCAAAGGTTTATTGTGCTGTTTACGGGGGAAGTTTAAATGCGAATTTTAGCTATGGCTTGCATAGAATATATGTTATGCTATGTGCCAAAAGCCAGTTTGTGTATCATCAGACTCGAGTTATGTTGGGGGAACTGAGGTCTTCAGAAGTTAAATCAGTTTCTGAAGATGATGAAACATGACAGAGCATGGCCAACTCTGGTGCCAAAGTGCTACATGATTTTGTTCATTTGACTTAGGGATGACAAACCTTCTATGACAGCAGCATTTGTCCAGAGACCTTTGGGGACATGTGTTCTGGACAGTGTCACTAACAAAGGGATCAGAAACCTACTTAAATCAATTAAATTGACGAAACAGTTCAGAAAGAACAAAACAATGAGATCACAGGGGATCCCATCTCAAAACAAAAGAACAATAGAGTGACATGGAAAATTGAAAGAAAGAGGGCCAAGCATGATAGCCTAGTGACTAAAGTCCTTGCCTTAAATGCCCTGGGATCCCATACAGGTGCCAGTTCTGATCCTGACAGCCCCACTTCCATTCTGGCATCCTGCTTGTTTCCTGGGAAGATAGTAGAGGATGGCCCAAAGAATTGGGACCCTGCACCTGCATGGGAGACCCAGAGGAGGCTCCGGGCTCCTGGCTTCGGATTGGCTCAGCTCTAGCAGCTGCGGCTGCTTGGGGAGTGATCCAGCAGACGGAAGATCACCTTCTCTGTCTCTCTTCCTCTCTGTATATCTACCTTTCCAATAAAACCAAACAAAACCTCTTTCAAAAAATTGAATGAAAGACCAAACAGAGGAAGGAGGGAAATGGCAAGAGAGAGGCTAGTTTTGACTAACCTGAAGTTATAGGACTGAGGACCCTAAGGTTCTTCAAGTATGGCAGTCAAAATGAAGCTTTTTACATGCCAGGCTGGCTTTACACACTGCTTCAATTCAGAATGAAGAAAAGCATATGAGCCATATTTCGCATAGAGGCCCAAATGTCCCTTGAAGTGCTGTGATAACAGTCATGTATATGGTCCTATTAGAATGATTGAATACTGTGTGTTTGTTTCCTGTCATTAATTCTTTTCTGTCTTTTCAGATCATGCTTCTTAGTGATCCTGAAATGGAAAGCAGCATCTTGATCAGCTCAGATGAAGGAGCAACCTATCAAAAGTACCGGCTCACCTTTTACATCCAGAGCCTGCTCTTTCATCCCAAGCAAGAGGACTGGGTGCTGGCCTACAGCCTCGATCAAAAGGTGAAAAAATACTCTTTCTTTTCTTGTTACCCGTATCCCTCCCTTTGAAAAGCAATTGTTTTGGGGGGACTCACTGATGTATCATCTCTGCAACCCTATTCATTCTTTCTACAGTAACTAACTTTTCTTTCTAAAGTATCAAAACATAGGCAGAGTACCTATCTTTTTTTTTGACGGGACTATTGCATTATTCAGCTGTTTATTACCATAACAAAACACTTAAGACAGACTATTTAGGAAGGATGGAGTTCTATTTTAGCATACAATTTTGGAGGTTCAGAGTTGAAGGTTGGGCAGCCTCATTTGCTTGGCATCTGAGGATGGAGGTCTTTCTGGCAGTGTCCTGAGGTGGTAGAGAGCATCCTATGGCACAAGGAGGCACGCCTGTCTGTCTGTCCATGAATTTGCCATGATTTGGTCATGGGCCACATCCCCTTCACCTAATCTATGCTAATCAATTCTCAGAGGCCCTGTTTGTAAACACCATAATTGGATAAAGTCTTTGCCTTCTTGCTATCATGGGATTTTGAGAACCAGGACTGAAATGCAAGTGGCCACTGTGAGACACCCAAACTAATATCCAGACCACAACAGCTATTTATCATAGTGCATTTTTAAATGACTTACTGTTTTTTTGTTTTTTACTCATTTGAACTTGTTTAAATACCTCTGTGAGAGAAAGTAGGTCATAGGTAATCATAATAATTTATGTAGTGACTATAGTAAACAAAGCTGCAGGGAAGTTGAAGTGCTCTCCAAGCTGGAGGGGCCAGGATTTGTCAAATTCCAAGGCAAGGGTGGTACATTCCTTCTCTCCAAGCTGCCTTGATTGGATAATAATTGAATATACCATTGCTCTCTGTTTGGCAATGCAAGGGGAGCATCATCCAACTCTATGTACATGTTTTGCAAATGTACATTAAAGACATAGCAGCCTGGCAAGGCTTCCTTTCTGAGCTCCAGATCCATCTTTTTAGCTAAGCATGTGACATGTGATTCAGTAGCATCTTATTCAGTGTTTTCCAAAAATGAATGCTGAATCTCCGTGCAGCATTACTAGCTCTCTTCCATGATGCCCTAAGTTCTATCCATGTAATTGCAAAGTCAGAAACCGAGAAAGTATAATTAATACTTCCTTGTTCCTGCTAGACCATCTTTGATTTCATTTTTATGTTTTATCTCCAAATATCTCTTGATTACATTTACTCCTTTTATTTCTACCATCACCCAGATGTAAGTTACATTTCTCACCTGCACTAGTGCTGGAGTCTTGAAAGACTTCCAGCATAACCTGCCTGAAGAACGTTTTCCAGATGTCAGTCTTTCTAGGTCATACTGTTGCTTAAACCCCTTTGACATTTTCTCATTGCTAACAGACTGTAGGCCATAATATTGTAGATGGTCCACCAGCCCTTCCCTGATCTGGGCCCCACCCGGCCCTCCAAGTTCCCTTCCTTTGGCTGACTCTCAGTTATCACTTCCCTTTGAATGGTCTCCTTGTGTCAATTCCCAGAGCTGTCCACCTGCTCACTGTGGTTCCTTCCCATGATGTAAGCCTCACTATTGTTGGAGCTCACCCCAGCACTGCTTCCTAAGGATGCCTTGGCTAAACTCTGTGACAAAGCCAAGGCCTATTGCTGCTCTTGGTGCTGGTACTAGGTTCCTGTCCACTAGAGTACGTGTCCACACTTGAGATCTACATCGATGTGCATAAGTGTAAAATCATCTACACTTCTCATTAGATTTCATTCTGTGTGTGGGGGGGGTGGGGCATTATTTTACACACTACTATAGCATTAGTCTCTGGCATAATACCTGGTTCTTATCAGTTCTTAGCATAGATTGGTACCTGTTTCATAAGTGAATTAGTGAGTAAATGCTGCCAAACTTGCCCTCTGTATATGACCAAATTATAATTAAGAAAAGGGATGTTACATTACTCTTATTTTCATTCCCTGTCATCTCTGGAGCCTTAGAGCAGTGCTTGATGCCAAAGTATTATTTTATAATGTTGTGGGATCAGTCAATGAGAGGGAAGAGATAATTACAAGCTCTGCTCATATAGAGATATTGACAACGTAACCTTGATTATTAACAGCTTCTTTTCTTTTAAAAAGAACTCTCTTGAATCCTGAAACAGTTGCTCCACAGTATATAAAATTTGAATATGCTGTTGTGATTGTGTATATGATGTCAGTGCCTTTAAACAATATTTTCACCATAACCTTTATAGTTCTCGTTAATTAAGTTTCATGGTGGGTCCCGGGAGTTTAGTGCAATCCCCTAAGGACACCCACATGACATTTGCAGAGCAGAAGTCATCACCAGTACAGTTCTTTCATGGCATCAAATGGAGAGTGTATGAAAGATTTAGCCAAATGTCAGTCTGTTTATATACTTAGTAGAGTCAAAAATTTAAAACTGTATTGAAAAAAATGAATGATTTTAGTGTTCAGTGGTTGGATGGTGATTTAGCATGATGAAATTCAAAGTTCTGAAGACATTTATTTATACAGAGATGATCTAGATTAGGAACAATGGACTTCTGATACTAAGAGCTTGATGTAGCAGGTGCTGTTTGCCCCATGGGTATCCAGGAGCATCCCGGCTCATCACCATAGCTTTTGGAGAAACCTTTGGAATTTTGCTTGAAAGGAACCCTTGTGGATGGAAGACATTCAAAAACGCTTTCAGATTTGGCGATTTATTCTTTTACTTAGCAAACTGTTTGGGATTGTAACAGTGAGTATAGATGGATTTTCCTAATCACACTGCACATTTTTGGATACATTATTCCTTAGATGCTCCTTCGTGTTGACATCTTTTGCGAAAAGTGGCTGAACATTCTTTAGACCTGTGACGTTTCCAACCAATGTGAGGTCATTCTTCTTCTAAATAAATGATGTGATTAGGCAGGTGATGCCCATGGCAACACTGGCAGAGATGGCATTAAAACACGTAGTCCCAGTCATTCAGGTTGCAGAAGAATTTTTCTTTATTTGGGGGGGGGGGCAATTTGACAATTTAAAATCAAGGAGACTGATAGTATGTGGCAGAAAATGAAAATGCAAGTGCAGCAGAGATTGATATACTAATGTGTTATTTCAGACCGAAGCCTTCTCGTGTGCATGCATTGAGGCACCTGTTTTCTGCTTGAGAAAATGGAAAGTACTAGTATTAAGGTAACTGCTGCATTAAAGGGAGATGTTTGTGGTGAAGAGTGAATCGATGTTTCCATTATTGTACCTTTGATGAAATGCACTAGCAATTTCTTTAGAATTGCTAAAGCTGTCTCCTTATGTTGTATGTATTACAGAAGACCTAATTGAATGATATTTTAAAGGGACAATATCCAGTTGCTTTACTTTCCAAGCTACTGTCCCACAGCTCCAGGGAAGCTGTCATGGATCTCACTCAACAGGGGTATGATAGTGAATTAAGAAAATGTCTTCTGGAATAGACAGAATTGTGTGTAAAGCCCCAAGAAATGAATCCAGCGTTTGGTTCGTGGTGATGCTAGAAGGTGAGGTTCCATGTTAATAGAGAAGCACAGCTAGCTGATCCTGATCAAGTCCTGATTCATGGGAGAGATGATCCAAGTCTTCTAATTCCTGTAAATGGGTGGGGCTGGCAGGGAAAAGCTGCCAGACATTGGACCCCCTGATCCTAATTCCTCCAGGTCTTCTGAGTTCTTTTCCGTTTCCTCTTCAGTTTGGCCTGGGCTTGTGACCAATTCCTCTTATTCTTCCCTTTCCATGAGCTTCATTTCTGCTGATTCTCATTCCAACTTCTGCTCCACCTGATTAATCCTCTATGGTTGTTTTAACATAAGAAGATTCAGTTCATAGTTCAAACAAGAGTTCATTATTGGCTATGGTAATCTTCAGAGCTGTTTTTAAGAACCACTGAGATTTTAAAAAAATATATTTATTTTTATTGGAAAGACAGATTTACAGAGAGAAAGAGAGATGAAAAGATCTTGCATCTGCTAGCTCACTCCCCAGGTGATCACTACAGCAGAGCTGAGCCAATCTGAAATCAGAGGCCAGGAGCTTCTTCCAGGTCTGCCATGTGCTTGCAGGGTCCCAAGGCTTTGGGCCATCCTCTGCTGCCACAAGCAGGGAGCTGTATGCAAAGTGGAGCAGCTGGGACATGAACTCGTGCCTATATTGGATCCCAGTGCATGCAAGGTGAGGGTTTAGCCACTAAGCTATTGTGCCAGGTCCTCTTAGGTAGATTTTGAAGACAGTGCAGTCCTAAAAGTAGATTGCTAGTCTTCTCACTGTTGTAGAGAGATGGATGCTTAAGTGGGCACAGTTTACATAGTATTGAAGCCAAAGTCACATGCTCATGGATTTACAAATGTAGACAGAGGGCTTCAATGGATGGAGAGCTGGGTATTTCATACTCTGTTGTTTTCAGGCACTTCTGGAATAGAATGGTCTAGAACTTCCAGCTATTTCATTATGGAAAACACTTTCTGATATTCTAGTGCATGTATGTAACCTTTGGTCATTGTTATGGTTAACATTGGCATGAAGCTAAGGGTAATTTTTAATATGAAATTTATTTTTAATTATCACAATAACTGTATATGTACATGGCATATATTGTGATTTTTTGATACACACAATGAAACCACAACATTTAGCATATCATGACTTCAGCATTCAACATTTCCTTTTAGTGACCTAAGGGTTTCTGTTGATCACCTCCTGCCAGCCCGGTTCAATAGTGGCTAAAATATTGACAAGGTGGTTAAGGAGCTAGAGCAGTTTTAGACATGGTGACTAGCTATTTAGAGCGCAACAGGGAGGAAGTGGTAGTCCTATGCCAACTTTACTGATTGGACCATTCCTGGGCAGTCACAGCAGGAGCAGGGCTCAGGCAAATTAGGGTATATTTGGAGCATGCACAGTCTGAAATATCAAAAGGAAATTTAAACGTGTACCCCTGGATACAAATGAAGCTCTGCTTTTAATTTACATTCTCGTTCTAAA